GCGAAGTTATAAAAGGAAAGTTAGTACGAAGTTACAAAAGGAAAGTTAAGGCATTGGATGTCTTAATTACAATTCACCCCAGGCCGAACGAATTCTTTCCCTAAGTCTCCCCCAATCTTCGCTCTGTTGAGAAGAAGCGACATTTAAGTCAGCTACAAAATCGTCATCAACCTCCAACTTTTTTTACTGCTCAACCAAAGATTTAGTTTGTTCAATTCCTTGGGAAGCATTACGCTTTTTAGCAGCCATTCTCGCCCTACAGTTGTCCATCTTTGCTTGAAACTCCTTCATCTCTACAACCAAACTTGTCATCAAAGAGTCTTCGATCATAACGTCGGAAGAGATTTCTTTCAATTCGTCCTAAGCTTTGTTAATCTCTAGAAATAAAGACTCTCTTTCAGATGCAGCACGAAGATATTCAGTACTCCCGGCCTTTAGTTCAACATTTTTGGCTAGCAAGGAGAGGATGTCAGAGTGAACAACCTTCAACGTCGCTTTAAAGTCAGCAGAAACATTGAGCGACGGCCAATTTCGCACTCAATAACTCAAGCTTATCCTTATGTTTAGTAGCACTAGCTTGGCCGATATCCATGTCCATAAAAGACACATACTCAAGTACCGACTGCTTGAGAAACTTCATATTTTCCTCTGAAGAAGCAGAAGGATGACTGGTTGAAGTAGGGCGAGACGTCTTGACTTGCTCTAAGGAAGTAAACAAGTCCTGGATGGAACGCACAATGTCATCAGCACCCTGCAAAGAAAAATGCCAACATTGAGGTCTTTCACTATAATAAACGAAGCAAAAATGAAAGTGAAGCAAAATATTACCTCATCAGCAATCTTGGGAAGTTCAGGCATATCACCAGTTGGCTCCGCCACCTGTGGGGACTTCCCCTTATCTGGGCGAGAAAACTCTGCCACAACGGGCAGGCCCATGGGAGCCACTGCATAATTCAAGAAACAACGAATCAGAAACCAGTAGCACAAGCAAAGGTAAAACATCAAAATATGTATTACCTTCCGGTTCAACGTTTGGGGGTCGGCGCCCTGGGAAGAAGGTGGCCCTTCTACTGGTAGTGATGAAAGTTCCGGGACTAAGGGTTTCTCTTTAAGCATAATCCCTTCATCAGCTGGTTTGGACGAAGCAGTTTCAGCAGAAGATAATGGAGCAGGAGCAGCCAAAACCAAAGCCTTCGAAGGAGAGACTGAACTTTTTTGAGAAATTCAGGTAAACCATTAGTACATAGAAAAGTATGTTTGCGAATAAACAAATTCAATTACCTTTCTCCTAAGGATGAGAGGAGCGTCATCATCATCATCATTATCATCCTGCAAAATGGAAGATGCTGAAACTGACCGTTTGCGGCTTAAGGTACCTTTATCTGCAGTAGCCTTGGCAGGTAGAGAAGCAGATGGATGGATAGAATGTTTAGCGCGAGCAGGAGATGAAGGATTTCTAATGGACACAGGGTGACCAAAATAGGAGAAGTAGAGGGACTGCCTAGCTGGTCAGTAAATGGAAGGCAGGATTAGCATCAGTTGCAAACAATCGGCGTTTTACTGATGGCCAAAGCTGTTCAAAAAGAGGATGGACAGCACAGCTAGAATTGAAAGGCGCTAATGAAAATTTGTTCGTCAAAAGAATGTTGCGAGCATCTATAGCTTGTGCCTCTGCCTTGTTAATAGTGTGAAAATGGTCTGTCAAATTTTTGGAGTAGCAAGGAGGAACAAGCCAAGTTTGGCCAAAACCAAGTTGGCGAGCAAAAAATTGAGGAGTATATATTTCAACCCCAACTTTGGCATTGGTTCCAATTAAAATATCGTGGAACAATTCCCTCCCAATAAAAAACTGAACCCAAACAAGCAGAGAGGCACTCGCACTGTCTAGGGTGGATAGAGGTTGCACATAATCTGGAGTCAAGTGAGCAGGAAAAGGAAAGAATGAGGGAATCGAATTTAAGGTATAAAAGAATGAAAAAATGTCCATACTGGACATATTTACAGGGTTCAGTGGATCAATGGCTAGCCCATAACAGCTAGCAGAATGAAGGGAAATGGATGGAGCACCAAGTGGTGGAAAGTATGCTCTCAACCACAGTTGAGTGAACTAAAGGGGCCCACTGCCAGTGGAAGATGCACCATTTTTCAGTTGAAATTGAAGGGAATGCATGCCTCTATAAAGGGCAGCTAAAAAGAAGAAACATAAGTTCAAAGGCCTACCACGCGCCAATTCATGCGCTATGGGTAAGTAGCTCATAGAAGGTTTCATACTTGACATGCAGAGAATATATTTACAGAGTCAAATCTGAAGAAATGCCACACACTCAGCATTGGAAGGTTCAGCGCTTGAGTGATTATAAAAGCCTTGCAGGCTTGAATAGGATTCAGTAAGTTTCTTGTCAAATTTCGGGGCAACACTGAAAATCAAGATACCAGGAAAGATGGTATCGCCCAAAGGCGGAAGATTTACTAGGGATCCAACGTCCCTTAAAGTAATAGCCATGAGACTAAGAGGGAAAACGAAGGTGTTATATTCAGAAGACAAAAAACTCAAAGCAATAGGAAAAAGCACTGGGTCGAAAATTGGGGGTTGAAGAGTGATTTCTAATAAGTCTGAAATCCTAGCACGATTAAAAATCGCCTTAGTAGGACCATGATTCACAAGACGTGGATGTCATCTACAAAAAATAACATCAGCTTTGGGCTAAGTGCGAATACTTTTTTTGCGAATCGGCCTAAATAGCAGAGAGTTCAGGAACGGAGGACCTTGAGTGCAAGGGAACAGCTGGCCCACCGTCACTTGTCCAACAGCTTCGGCATTATTGAACGATGGATCTAGATAGAATTCATCGAGGTCAGCATTAACTTGTGCAAGGAAGTTTGGATTTACATACGGCCTAGGAAGGATTTTCTGGAAATCTTCGAAACTAAAAGAATCATCAGATTGAGTTTGTGAAGTCGTCATTAGGAACGAAGTACAGTTTTGTTAAGGTTTGCCTGAGAAACGTAGTAGAGAAGAAAGAAGATGAACAGTAAAATAGCGAGGAGGAAGCACGAAATATAGAGACGTGGTTTAGTGGTGCGATGAAATGGCGTGTCTTTTGGGTTTATAAGGGTTTGTAATGTTGCACCTTTTCAGGCTATAGAAGGAAATAATGATTGAAATTCTTGAGAATTTCAAATATTGTTGAAAAATACAAAGTGAATATGTCAAAAATTAATAATTGGTATTAATTCTGCCATATTGGGGGGGTAATTGTTGATACACTAAAAGTGCAGTCCAAATCTAATAGCCCAAAGAGTGAAGCCCAATTGAGGAATTCAAGATAAAGGTCCAAACATGATTATTGATGAATGCGGTGGAAGCCCATGAATATGGTAACATCATTGCCCAAACTTGCAAGACGCTCAGAATTTGAGCGAATGGAGTACCTTACGAGATCTTATCACATTCCACGATTCAAGGAGCCCAGTTGAAGGCGGTTGAACGACAAAGAGTAATGACAACAGTTAGAGACGGCAGTTCCACGACAAGTTAGCTACCATAAAGAAAGTGGGTAGTTATACAACAATCAAGCGGTTTCCAAGCGGTTTGTCACGAAGAAATCATCAAGGGAATATAAAAAGAAGAGAATACATGGAGAAAAAGACCCCGAATCAAACACTCTCAAACAGAGAATATGTAATTTTAATTTCTTAGTTTAGATTTAAACACTTCTTTTAGTACTCGTGTGCTTGCGCCCTTTGGAGGCATTCTGTTTATTTCCAATTGTAAATCATCGTCAATAAAACACCCCTTTTTGAGACTTCGTCTGAAGAGGTCTGTTCTTACATAATCGTCTGATCCATTTTTTAATTATTAACGACTACCCGCGCGAAACTAAATGTGACCACAAAGAAAATGCCAGCGTCTTTAAAGTTTCCGTAAAACTCAGGACCTATTCTATCTAGTCATAAACACATACTCAAACGATTTAGTCGTTGAATACAATATTAGAACAAATAAAAATCTTGAGTTCAAAACTCCCAATCACTCAATTAAAAATTTCCACTTGTCATGAGTCATCTGATAGTACGAAGTTTATGTTCTATTTTTTAGTTTTTCCCTGTAAGCAATGCAATCAGACAAATAAGGAGTTTTCATGGCAATTTCTTAGGCGATTCTAAATAAAATGTTGTTATCAGTTATCCTGTTGTCCTCCAGTGAGCATTTGGATTCCAATACCTGTTTGTACTGTTAACAACACAGACTTTAGTATAAAAATGGTAATTTAGAATCTGAAACCATAGGCTGTTGAGATACCGGCTAAATTAAAATATTTCGAACAAATCGGCCCGAAATACTTGTATTACGTGATGGAATGCATCAACTCATTGTAAGCAATTTTGGAAAATAGCCGCTATCAACTAGGCCGATTTTTTTTTTAACGGAAGTACATTTAGGTATTCCATATATTTATTAGATCGTCCCAACAGTATATGATAGGGGCATTTTAGACACCCATTTTTGGACGTGAAAGGAGAGAAAAATTTCAGCATCAAGTGGACGGTGCTATCCTTATTGAGGCTAAATCTACGTATGATATTTCATAATATTTTTATCTTCAAGACACCCCCTAGATGCAGGTTGATTAATTTTAAACGAAGGGTACGACAAGTAATTTTTTTTTTCCTCTTATAACCGTGGATGTCCGGACCAGTTTACGCGAATTTCAACTGATTTCACGGGACTCTAAAAGTTTACGGTCGGATACTCACCTCAATGCCCTGAGGAGACTCAAACATGACTAGTAAACTCTTCCTAAATGGATATAACGAGACTTGAATTTTATACCTTTGTCTTTATTTGATACAATTATGTAAACATTGATTCTTTTATTTTATTTATTATACTGTTAATAATCATGTCATGAAAAAATTGATATTTACAGCATTAGTATAAAACATGCTCTTGAGAATAGAGTAGCTATAGAAAACAATTTGCTGAGTCAAATTTTGAGATGAATGAATTTTTCCCCACTGAGCAAATTGCTCTAATGGAGATTTCAGATGAGTATAGTTTATCAAAAAGTTCTGAGACTATGGAAAGTGAGAGTTTAACAAAACAAAATGGCTTCAATTTAGATGAAGTTTGGGGAGATTCATCATATATGGATTCACTCACTTCTGATTATCAATTTGAGCAAAAACTGCAGCAGTTTGTAGATTTTATAAGTTTAGACAATCAGTATCTCGACATTGGTTCTGAAAATTTTCATTCATTCAACGATGAGATTGTGAATTTTGTTGACACTGCATTTCAAGATTCTGAGCTTAGTGAATCCGAGAACAAAAGGCCCCGTGTTCTCTCTCCAAAGTCGCTTGAGATTCTGCAGAAATATGGAAGCAGGCTCAGAAGCTTTAATCGTGATGAGAAAAATGTCCGGAGATATGGAACAGAATGCAATAAGAAAGGCAGCCAAACTCTGTCGACTGAAACTATAATCCGGTTGGCAGCAGAAGAATTCATCCAGTCTAGTTCTCGAAGTAGCTATGAACTATCCGTTCTTAGCCATCCATACGCGGGTGCAATTTTGGGCCAAGTCGAAGAAGATTTTAAAGAAGTCAAACTCGTCCAGAATCTTTTATCTTGCGTGGAAAAAGTAGGAGATGAGCAGTATGAACGTGCGAGGAGGCTCCTACTTGAGTGTGCCAAAATGAGTTCAAGAACAGGGAACGCTGTGGAGAGATTAGCATTCTATTTCATTGAAGCTCTTTATGAGAAGATTGATCGAGAAACAGGTAAATTTACAGGCAAAAAGCTTGCAGATCCTCAAGAGGTGTCAAAGAGCCTGAAAACTACTCAAATTGCATTTCACAATTTGCTACCTCTCTCTCAGATTACCAAATTTGCGGGGACTCAAGCTATAGTCGAACAGGTAGCAGAGTCGAGAAAGATTCATATAATTGATCTTCAGATCAAAAATGGAATACACTGCACAATTTTGATGCAAGCTCTTGCAAGTCGAGATAAGCATCCTGTCGATTATCTTAAATTTACAACCGTGGCAACAAATTCAAGATCAATGATAGATGAGACAGGTAGGCATTTGACGAGTTTTGCTCAATCCTTGAACTTGAAGTTCACGTTCAATGTAGTCATGGTAGACGATATTCTTCATCTTAATGAAAAGCTCTTTGATCTTGACAAGGACGAAACTATTGCAGTCTATGCTGAATATGTTCTAACCAATTGGATTCCACGGCCAGATTGTCTGGACAATTTAATGATATTGATCAGAACCCTCAATCCTTGTGTTATGATTGTCAGTGAAGTCGAGGCAAATTGTAACTCTCCGTTTTTTGTGGAGCGTTTTGTTGACGCTCTCTTTTTCTATGGTGCATTTTTTGATGCCATGGCAGATTGTCTGAAGAATGATGAAGAAAACAGAAGGGCCGCTGAATCAACGTGTTTCGGTTCTGCCATAAGGAACGTTGTGGCTGCTGAAGGAGATGAAAGGAAGATTAGACACGTGAGTATCGACGTCTGGAGGGCATATTTTGGACGTTTTGGATTGATCGAGGTAGAATTGAGCATGTCATCTCTATATCAAGCAAATCTCGTACTCAAGAATTTCGTGTGTGGGGATTCTTGCTCATTCGATATGAATAATAAAAGTCTAATCATCGGCTGGAAGGGAACGCCACTGAGTTCACTTTCTGCATGGAAGTTTGAAAAGAGGTGCTAGATGGAATGTAAAACCTAAGTTTGAGCAGAGAATATGCGTTCCTGTACGAACATGTTTCGTACCCAATACTAAACAGTACTGCACAGCATAATGGACAAGATCTTAATTTATTTTTCTTTTGAAAACCCGTCCAGGTCAGTCCAATCTGATAGCTGAACTAGTTTTGGAGTTTCATGCTACTTCTGGTAAGTTGTCTGATTATTTTCCAGTAAATGGAAAACTAATGGCGAAGGCCTGTGTTTTAGTCTTTTGGCATCTTTAAATGTCTAATTTTCAAAATATTTTTCTGGTTAGATTTTTCCCTAATTTATTTGTATCAACTCTATGTTTTCCATATTCACTATGGTTAGCTTCTCCCCATTAACATCCAATTTGGATTTTGATCCACTTTGCTAAATTTTAAATTTTAGATGCCTGGTTCAACATTAAGTTTAATAATTTAGATAAATATATCTGGTTTTCTGATATTTACAGATGTAAGGTTCCATCAAACTTTATTCGTTGAAATTGTTTTGTATTTAGCCATCTCGTCTAAAAATTTGAGAGGGGAGAAATGGTACTATTTATTTATTTATGTTTGTTCTTGAACATGTCCCTTTCATGTGCCATCAGCACGGTCAGCTTCAATTTTCATAAAAGAACCGGCAGTCTGGCACATTGTACAATTTTGATGGAGTAGCTCGAAACTTTTGCAAGTTCTAATACCGCATTTACTTGCCATATCTAAAGTGGCCTTTTGGAAAATTACTGAGTTCTTATCTACCCAGTTTAGAGAACCAGGCTCGAGACTTGGGGAAAAATGATCCATTACTCTCAAATGATACTGAAGAGCCAACATAAACATCTTCTATTTAAGATATATTATCCATATAGATAATAGAGGTGTAAAGTGGATCAAGTTGTCTATAAAACATCAAAGGGCAGCACGACATGGGTCAATCAGCCTGAGCTACCAGACCCAAATAGTTCTATTATCTTTGTTATCCTGCTTAGTTCTTTATTATAATCTGCGCAGTCTAGGCTACGATGTTTGACGAACCCACCTTTATGTTAAGGGAATAAATTTCACATTGGTTAAATACCGAAATATTGATCAACTTAAATAGAGTTTGGACCACTCCTCTTAATAAGGTTAACCTTATGAAGATGGACCCCAAACCTTAATATGGTATCAGAATCTAGTAAGATCCAACGAACTATTCGATCCGATTAAGTTTCAAAAAATGAGCACACGGATTTCAAAATTGGTCTGCTAAAAAAGAGCCACCATCTTGCGGGGGCATGTTAAGGGAATAAATCTCACATCGGTTAAATACCGAAATATTGACCAACTTAAATAGAGTTTGTGTCACTCTTCTTAATAAGGTTGACCTTATTACGATGAACCCCAAATCTTAATACTTTACACCTCTAATAAAATTATGACATCATATAGTATCATCAAGAATTAGAGATCATCTAAGTACTTTTGCTCAAACATTGAAGTTACCTTTGGATTCTGTTCTTAGGGTTGGGATCAAAACTTGCAATCACTAAGAACATCTGGATCGAAAAAAAGGGTACCGTATTTTGATGTGGGATCTAATTAAATGAGTTGAGTTCTTGAATCATGTCGTCCCTTTCTTACAAAAGTCTTGTTATTCAGTCTGGAAATGAAACCTCAGCAAAAGAAGCAAATTCTATTTCACAAGTTTCTTTGCAAACAAATTTGTATATCGTCACCTGTATATTTTAAAGCTTTACAGGTCACTCTCTTATTATAAATCTTCTGCTACATTGTTTTCTTGTTTATGTCGTTTGTTTGTTTGTTTTTTTTTTTTTTTTTTAATTGTCTCCCTTATTTTGTTGTTTGCAATTTTTTTGTCGTTTGTTTGTTTGTTTTTTTTTTTTTTTTTAATTGTCTCCCTTATTTTGTTGATTGCAATTTCACTTGTCTTGATTTTCTTGGTTCTTTCAGGGGCTAAAAACCTCTTTGGGCACTCATCTTTATGGTCTCTCCTCTACTTTTTGTTGCAGATTTACGTCTAAAGTTCATTTACTTGCCCCGTTAGTTACTAGAATATATTCCATCAATAAAACTACATAATGTGCGTATGGAGGATGGATTTCTCAGATTGTCCAACAGTTGGTAGTTAACTTCTGAGTTTATGCCATGTAGGAATTTAGGATATCAGTTCTCCACAGACTAGATTCATTTCGTGTCGAAGGTGTGACACGTTGCACAATTTTCGTAAATAGATTGCGTCGGGACTTGAAATAAGGACTTATACGAGAATATGTTCCAGACGGAGGAGATTACTCTAACTGAGGAACCAGATGAGTATAATTTATTAAAGAGAGTTGAGAAAGAATGAAGAATGTGGTAAGTTAGCAAAACAAAATGATTCCAATGTAGGTGAAGTTTGGAGAGATTAATCATATATAAATTCATTTACTTATGATATAGGGTTCTTTGAAGTACATGGCAATTTTACCAAGGATTTCACAAAGCTACTTTTATGATATTAGTCAAAGTTGAACGTGCATTGCATTTTATTCGAAAATACTTTACAAGTGATGTAAAAGTAATATTTGATATCAATTTTTTAAAGGATTTGATGAGTTTCAGACGAATTAAAGAAAATAAAATTTAGCATAGAAATTCAAAAAAGAAAATTGTACTCTCAAAACTCAATTTCTATGATTTAAATTTTTTATAATGATGAAATACTATAAATGAGCAATCATTTTATAATACATTTGATGCATAAAAATTAATTGTTAATAACAACCATTAAAATTTTCGAATACATGAATATGAATAAATTCATCAATAATAACTATAGATTCATGTAATTCAAAATTCATCAAGTGAAAATTCATTGAATTTAGATTAATGTGAATATTAATTAATTGAGAATAAATAACATAGCTTTCATAAATGACAATAATTATATACTATTTATTATTATTACATATTGAAAAATGAAAATTAAGATATTATTAAAATAATTGAATTTTGGAGGGGGTTAAAATCGTCCAAAAAATTATTTTCCCTTGATGTGATATTTTGATATATTATAGATTTCGCAGAGAGACGGGTTTAGTATCAATATTGATTGTATACTAAAGTATTAAAAATAAATAAATAAAATTCTATTAATGTATAGTGTTATCTAATTTAATTTATTAACATATCATGAGTGTTTATCATATATCTGACAATTTTTATTTTTTGGTAAAGTTGTACCAAAAAATATGAATTTCTGCGCATCCTTTTGAGAAAATTAGACAAATTAACGAGTCAAGAGAGATTGTGTTAAAAGTATATATATAAATCCATTTTTAACAATTAGGTCATATATTAAATCATGGTTCGTCTTTAACATGAAGAGTGGAGGCCATGGTTGGCAGCATGCGACAAGAGCAAACTTGCCTCTACCGGCTACTACTTGACTGCAATCAACAACCTCTCTGGCTGTGAAAAGTTGCTTTTGCATAATTTTTAACCATTTTCTTGGTTATTATTCATCCAAATTATTTTATCTAATTAAAAAAATGAAAGAAAAAAGAATGGTTGTGGCTCAGACGAAGAGATGTAACCTTTTTGGAAAGGTTGTAACGACAATCTACAAATATAATGATGGATCATTTGGAAAATATATATGTGATATCTCCTTCGTTGATCTTCTTATTGCATTTCGTTTCTTTTTTTAAACCTTGCTCATAATTTGATAATTCGAATATACAAAGTGCGAGTCTCTCAAATGATAGCTTCTTCTCTTTTTTCAGTTTTTTGTGTTCGGAGTTGATTTTGTTTTATTAATGTACTTCGCAAACAACAAAATCAAATTCTGTATCCTAGAGGCATTTTACTCTTCCATGCGCATCACGGTAATGTGGGTTTTAGTTCAAGTTCTGTTCGAGTGTTAGATATTTTTCTTCCAACTTCCTCAGATTTTAGACGAATCATTGTGATGGATGGACCACCAAGTTGTTGATCCACCAACTTATTGGTTTTGTGCACATGTCATGCCTGAAGTTTTTGAGGTTTTCATGTTTTACATGGCGACAATAAATCCTAACAAGTTGTAAGTTTCGATACGAACGTTGATTTATAGTGGTAAAATGGTAAATCAATGAGCACAGAAAAAATAATAGAGCTCGGCATAACTCTTGGCTATAGAGTCTACGATTGTTTGCCAAAAGTTTCTTATATGTGATGGGTTGGCACATGTGATTAACAAACCTCTATCATTTTACCGACATGATTTAATTACATAATCAATTCAGCCTATGATATGGTCCGTCACATTTCAATCATGCCTAGATCATGATTGATGGCTCGACGGCTCAGGATCCACTTTTAATACGCTTAACCCCTAGACTAATAACGATGGATAAAAATTTTGAATATTTTCTGTCAAAATATTTTAAGTTTCTTGTTTTAAAAATGTGTTCTACATTTAGTCCTTGTTCGAGCTCTATTTTGAGGGAAAGAATGAATTTTTGAATAGTGTATTGATTAAGAAATGTGTGGTTAAAAAATAAGAAATTTTTTTGGATTTACATGTAATATTATTATTTTATTGAAGAATATGTAGTTAAAATGATGTTAAAAATTATTTAAAAAATCATTTTTTCCCCCAAACAATGAGACTCAAATAATGGCTTACTTTTCTTTTTCGGTACAATTTTGTTTGGTGTGCATCATAGATGATATAATGTGAGTTGACAGCTTTTTATATATTAATTTGAACATTATTTTTTTAATCAATGGTTAGATATTCAACCATTAATATACAAATAGTTTAATTGTTTAAGTCATGCTACATTGACAGGGAAAATTGACAAGATTTAGTGACCAACACCACTTGTCATTCATTCATTGAAAGATTGGAATTTAAAAAAAATAAATAAAAAAATAGACTAATAAGAATCTGCCATATTATCTATGTCAATTTTCCCTGTTCCATTTCACCGACTGAGTAGATCAATTCTAATTGTTTTATGGATTCAACTAGAATCCTCGGAGAGAGTCAACCATGTGTACAAATGGCATTCTAATGCACATACACGTGGCAACACACGACAAGACCGAGCATAATCGCCTCCTGTTGAGCGTTCTCCAATTACCCGCAGTTGTCAACCAATTCCCTTAAAATCGCGTTTCATTTTTAATCATCAACTGTTCGAAATTAGTCCTCAAACAAACGATTTTAGTTCAAACTGGGTAAAAGAGAAGCTACTGAACTGTAGACCACCATTCACCGGTACTATAAACGACGAGTAGAAGAAAAAATGATCATCTGCAGAAAAGCGAAGGGGCGAAAATGGAGGGAAAGAGCGATATTACTGCCATGTGGATAAAGAAGCACAGTCTACTATACACCGGAGCCACCAGGCACCCTTTCATTCTCAACATTCGTGATGGCTCTATTGATATATCTTCATTCAAAAGATGGCTGGTAAATTATGATTAATTTTAAACTTCTTTTGTTGTGGATTTACGTTTGTCATGTTTAATTTGTTTTTATTTACGTAATTAATAAAAATTTTCCGGCAAAATCAGTGCTGTTGTAAACAATTTACCTATGAATACGGAAGAATATAAATACGTTAATTCAATGGTGATGTAGTTTAATTTTTTGAGTTGTGAATTTTGTTCATGAACTTGAAATTATTTTGAAACTTAGTTTGTTTAATTATGGAACAACTCCAGCGCATGTTTGGCTAAACTTTAAAAAAGAAAAATCGTTTTAACTTTTAATTCATTATGTGAGGTTTTATAATAAATAGTTTTTCTTGTTGGTCAAAATTTGAAATGAATAGTTAACCTCTAAGTAATTATAAACTTTACCATATTTTGGCTATGCACGAGAAAAAAGTACGAGTTACCGTTAAGTAATTTTTAGTGTGGGGGTGTTATGTTTGAGCCTCATTTTTGGAGGAAAATAGATTTTGTAATAGTGACTTTTTATAGAATGTGTTGTTAAAGTGGGAAAAGTTTTGGGCTTATATGCAAAATTATTTCATTAGGAGTGTGTAGTTGTAAATGACAAACTAGGACAAATGTTGCTTTTAGAAAGTAAATTTTACTTTAATGTCAAAGAAGTGACTTGCTCATTTTTAACTTCAACCAGAAAAAGATAATTTATTGATTTATTTAACAACCTACTTGTAAGAAATTTTTAAGGTTGGCTAAACATGATCATAAATTCTTTTATTTGTAGGAAAAGTAACTTATCAAAACATTTTTTAGAAATAAAAAGTTACTTAAAAGTAAGTTTAAGTGACTTTTAAGCTTTGCCAAAAAGAGAATTCATTGAACAACCTGTATTTTTAGGTAAACTTCCAATTGGTAGCTTCATTTTTTTCAGCCAAGTTATTCATGCTATTTTAGAAAGTGTATAATTTGAACACGCATTTGACCCTACCAGAAGGAATGAAAACAAAATAATTTATGCTGAAGGACTTTAGAATGATTGGTTATTTGACATTAAAATAATTAAATAATATTTGGGAGTTAGTAACTAAAATATTCCTTGCCAAATGGACCTTTTGCTTGTCTTGATTGAGTATTATGATCTAGACTCAAAAGCTTACTAGCTGGCTTGATTGACTTGCACACCTAATCCAAGCGCATGGAGCCTTAGTTATTCGGGAGCCTTAGTTATTCGGTTGCTCATTCTAGCGTACATCTGTACTTAACTTTGTACACGATTGTGGGAAATTTCATAAGCCCCGTGTTAATATGAAATGCAGGCACAGGACTACATTTTTGTAAGAGCATTTGTTCCTTTTATTGCGAGTATATTGGTGAAAGCTTGGAAGGAGTCAGATGTTAGTTCTGATATAGATTTGATTTTGAGTGGCATGGCTGCTCTAAATGATGAGATTGCGTGGTTCAAGAAAGAAGCTTTGAAGTGGGGCGTTGCTCTGAATAGTGTTGTACCTCACAAGGCCAACGTTGACTACTGCAGGTACTGTAGCATATTATCGATAGTTCTGATAACTTATCCAATCTTAATTTCAGTGCCATGTGCAACTTCTTAAATTAAAAATTTCATCTCATGGTTGTATTTCAAATGGACTTAAAAAAAAGTTCTTCCCATCATGTTAAGCAATTGGTAAACCTTCTTTTCGAGAAGTGCTTTAGAATTAAGAAATGATTGATTGTAGATTTTATGGAAAATGAAAATTCTAAAGCCACCACCAAAGTCAATTTTTTTAACTCCTTAAAATGAACTTTTCCTAGAAGTTCATTTCTAGATGGATGTCTAAGATTTGAAGTGTTGGTAGCTACTGCTCGTTGTGAAACTATATTGCGTTTAGATTATGTTAAGTTGTAGATTTAGCTTCATTCATATGAGCTACAGTTTCAATTTATATTTACTTGCCGGTATATAATCACTTCAAAATTTCACAATTTGCTTAAAAATTTGTGGCATCATGGTAAAACTGGTCTACCCATGTTTCATCAAAAGGATTAAATGTGCACATAGTTTTGAGAGCAATATCTGAAGATGCAAATATAGATATGATGAATGTGTACAATTGCCACTGTTACAGCCTGAGAGTTGTAGTTGGCACATTGTCCCTGCAAGTTCAAGTAGCTTAAAAGTAGTGGGATGTATAGTCTCTTACCACTTAATCTTTCTGTCATTCCTTTGGTTAGAGGAAAAGGTGATAAGTTCAAGTAACAATGGTAAGATAAATTATTTCTTGATTTCTGTGGCTAAAATAATGTCATGGTTGAGCAATGGATATCATCCTTTCTGATGCAGATTTTTGGAAAGCCTAATGAACCCTGATGTTGAGTACACATTGGCCATCACAGCTTTTTGGGCCATTGAGACTGTTTATCAAGAAAGTTTTGCTCACTGCTTGGAAGATGGTAGTAAAACTCCAGAGGAACTGAAAGAGACTTGCCAAAGATGGGGCAACGAGGGTTTTGGTCAGTATTGTTCTTCACTGCAAAACATAACAAATCGGCGTTTGGAGAAGGCATCAGATGACATGTTCTCAAAAGCTGAGGTCATTCTTATACGAGTTCTCGAGCATGAAGTAGAATTTTGGAATATGAGCCGTGGGACAATCTAGATATTTGTTTGTAATTAAACGTGGTTTTAAGTTGAAGTTTGTGTTGCACCTGTGGTTAGAGAATTATATATACATACATGTTGGATTTTATCACACCTTGAAGCTTTTCTTGTTAAATAAAAACTGCTGTACATAACTGTGCAGCATCTAGATGTATTATTTCTATATATGATATGCAAAATGATATTTTTCAAAACAGTTTGATTTTTCACTTTATATTCGTTCCTTGGTTGGAAAGGGCAGAGTTCCATTTTTGGGGTGGGTCTAGAGTGAAGGAAAGAGGTGTGTGGCAGAGGGCAGGAGTCTCAATTGGTCTTTTCTAGGATTCCTTATCACGCCACACATGGAGATTTTTCATTTATGTGAGATGTTATTCCTCAAGACAGTTTGATTTTTCACTTCATTTTCATTTTCTGCAATACTGAAAAGCAGGAAAATAAGAGTTGTTGCCTTGTATAACATATGGAATGTGCAGAGCTTAGAATCTCCAACAGGAACAGGTCAGGTCTCGTCTTATCATCTCCACAGATGAACCATGTGAGGAAATCAAATTGCAACATCATGTAAATCAGTGAAACTTCAGAACTGGAAAATCCCAGCAGAGGTTAGGGATAGGCAGAAATTGGACAGGACGCTGCCAAGGATTGAGCCAGTAATCCTGAATACTATTCACTGAATGTTCGTTTGCCATGTAAATGTAGTTGGTAACCATTTCCACATACTCCAGCCTTCTCCATAGTTCGTCTTTCTGTGCTCTCAAGATTATGTTCTCCGACTCGACAATGGAATAACGTTGTGTAATGTCATTAATCTTCAGAACCATTTCATTGCTTTTATTTATGAAATGCATGATTTCATGTTGCAGGTCCTTGATATGCTGCTGGCGTCTCATCCTCGACCTCCTTGCTGATTCACGGTTTGAAATCATTCTCTTCCGCTTCTTTTCATCTATTAGAGCATGTCGGTTTTCGTCTTCTGAACTAGGGCTGCAATGTTTATTCGATGGCATCTTATGCTGAATATGTTGGTGTTTACCACGTGTTGAGAATTTTTTAGTTGATTGCTGAAAACCTCAAGGGAAAACAGTGAAAATGAGGAGAAATAAAAACTACTTTTTACCGAAAAATTTAAGAGTTGGATAGAAAGAAAGCAGATTCAGGAAAAAACATAAAACCAATAGAGAAAAACAACGGAGAATGATTGAATGAGTCTAATTCTGCTTAGAAGCGAGATTATACTCATTATCTTATCAGGATTGATATGTGCATTGACATTGAATGAGTAGAGCATAGACTAAAAAATTACGATAATATGGAGCAAAAGCATCAAAATAGGAAATTGTGAGGGTTTTGAGGGTGAAGGATTTTGAGATCCTCTTGGGTATATATAGAAATCTTCTGGTTCCTGTGAAGAAATTTCAAAAGTTAAAAGTAATCCTCCTAGAGAAAGCATTTAGTACAGATGTGGATAAATGATAGCACACAGTATACTATGCACTTTTTGAGTTTGGATAAGGTTTTACGACATTGAATATATTTTCGTAGCCTGATTAAGTTCCCATAGCAATTTATGGTTTCATTTGATAGCACACCAGGTCTTTTTAAAGGCCAAAAAGGACACCCATCTTTTTATGTTGAAGACAAACTTTACGCAAACCCTGAGATAATAGTTAATGCGAATCTCCTACTTAAGGACTATGAATCAAGAAAACCAAGTGTTAATTTTTCGTTCGTGAGCAAGGAAAATAAGTAGAGATGCATCATCTTTGCTGCTAATTACTTATTTTTAGTTCAATATCTAGTTATTACGTGAATTAGGAACATAAAGACTGAAATGATTCAGTCAATTTGTCCGAATTATCACCTAAGAGGGTGTTTGAAAGTGATTAAAATTAGATTTTATAGTAGATTGTGATAGAAAATTTTGAAATATGTGATTGAAATGTTGAAACCCATGAAAAATATGATTTGTTTGACTTTGACTTAAATTAAAATAAAATTTTAATTCGTACCAAACATGTAAATTTATAGAAAATGTGTTTTAGAGTCTTGTTTTTGTTGATAAGAAGACAGACAAGTGGCCCAATTATTATTATAATTTTCTCTCTATATATATTATATCATTTACGTAATTAGAGATCTGGATTTGGAATAGTCGTTGGCCAAAAAGCGTTCTCTAAGTTTTTTAATCCAAGTTATGGGTTGTTTCCGAACGCCAATTTTGAAAGTTGTTGAAGTTTCTCCAGCTTGAAGACTTTTAAATTTCTTTTTAATTTGTTTGATTTAATCATATGCTTATTTGTGTTGCTTTGTTATACAATGATAATGCTTGGCCCCCATTCTTTTGAAATTTTAATGGTTGAAATAGTGTTTTTTTGAACAATGTGTGGTTGAAAAATAATGATTTTTTTTTTTGTGTAATATTATTGAGTTCTGCTTGGTGTACAGACCCTATGTTCACAGGACATACATAATACTCACAATCCATGGGGGTGGGAGAATTATTATTATTATTATTAATTTTTTTTTTTTAAATAATCACACATCCCCCAACCCAATGCAAGGGCATGTGAGTGCCTTGTGCCGGCCCTATGAACACAGGCCTGTACATGAGGCAAAATTCAATATTATTTTATAAAAGATTGTATAGTTGAAAATAAAAGAGAGAGAAAGAATGAGAAGGAGAATGTGGGCCAAACGGAGGCAATGTTTTATTGTTCTAAATAAGAACTTATCTCGACAAAACAATTGAAATTACTTGGAACTTCTTTACGTCAGGGTTTTGAAACATCATGAATGAAACTATTCAAAATCGAGCTACTTGAAGAATGAAAATCTAAACAAGGTCGCCTTCTCCCACAGCCAAATGAGTAGGATGAGGGACGAGAAAATGGTTTAAAGATGAACAATAATTCTATTTCAACAAAGTTGAGTTACAAAAGTGAATTTACAAAGTGTGTTGGCATAATCTAAGCTACTGATTTCAGATTATTTAAAACTTCATTATTGAAATGATCGGTGTAGATTTAACTTTATCATTCAACTTTGTCAAAGTCTTTTGTCATTGTAGCATAACTCAAAATGAAACTTTAAATCGTGTTGGCTTACTGAATTCTTCCATTTTTTTATTTTTCTTTTAAATACAATTTTTTTTTTTTCAATTCAGATGTTAACTAATATTTTTGCACAAGGGAAGTTGAACCAAAATTTAAGTGGTTAGGCTATCAAACAATGGCTAAATTCTTACATTTAAGATAGAAATTAAGATAATAAATCAATTAAAACGACAGGTACTCGCAATATTTATTTCCTGCCGCCAATTTTGTACTAAAATTTCCCTTGTAATTCTTAACCCAAGAACACAAGCCCAAGCCTCCACAAATTAAAAATTACACTTCCCCCCTGTTTATAGATGAATCAAAAAAGTAGCCTAAGCTGATTGAAACAAAAGTAAACAAAGTCGAACATCTAATCCAAGTAAAAATAAATAAACCGGCCCACCGGAAATTGTCAGTTAAGTGAAGGAGCAACATCGTGTATTGACAATAAAATAGTTTTTCACATAACCAAAAAGGTCGTGTATTAAAAAAAATCAATACTATTAGCAACGAGTGAAACAGAGCACAAAACATGAAACTCTGTATTTGTAACGTTTTCCAACTCTCTATTAACTAGAAATTCAATGGTCTACATTACATTTGCATAATTCTACAGACAAATTGTGTTCTAAAATGTTAGTGGCATCTGCAACAATTCATAAATATCGAGAAACCAGAAAAACTAATACTAAAGACAGCAAAAGCATCCTGTCTAGCATGTATACAACCAGCATGAAAAAGGAGAAAATTACCAATAACATGCGAGATACCTTTCCAGAAAGATTCACATCAATGTGCTTCTTCTTCCAGTACAAATTACCAAAAGCTCATCAATAGAGTATGGTACAGTCATTTTAATTGGGTGATGGAAGCGTATTAATATTCTGTGGTGCAACTGGTTCGTCAGCTGACACTTGTGTGACTTCATCTACATATTCCTTGCTCATCTCACTAAAATTTCTTTTTTTGGACGAAGAGGTTGGTGTATCCTCTCTCTCTTTTTCAGGCTGCGCTTCACTGCTTGATGGAGGAAACAATGGAGGTTCACGGCCACTTAGTTGACAAAAGACTTTCTCAACAATTTCACTGATCTCCTTCCCCAAACCATGCTGATCCAATATTAACTCCCACACTGATTTAGAAGCCTTTTCAAGCACAGGAGTTCTGCAAATAGTATGTCACCATATTATATCTTATTTCCAAGGAGTTGATACGAGGACAAATCAAGTTTATCATGCTTTGTCAACTTATATAAAGTTCATTAGAGAATTCAGGTTTCTCAGTTCAGCTTGCTGACACGAGAGGACTAGAGATGTACTAACTTCTTCAAGTTCATTAAATTTGCATAAAATGACTGAAGTCATATTCAAGTCACCAAATTATGAGTTACAAGAAATAAACATAAGGATCTGAACCATACGATCGTGTCGTTCTGTAAGAAATGGACTGCTGCAATAGACAATGTTATATACCACTCGTCATAAAAGTCTCTCATAATCTTATATCAAATCAATAATATAACATCCCCATAAACTGACAAAAGTTCAAGCCCATTTCGTCTTCATGCTTCAATAAGATTAAGGGAAGCAGCCTTTATACAAACATGGTTACATAAAAGAATATGTTTAACAATGAGTATATAGCAAGAATCACTTACTCAAGCTCCTGCCGAAGTGCATCAAACAGCTCCCGCTTTGTCTGTTTTTCTGCACCAGGAGTATTAAGAACCTTACTCTGCTCCACCATTTTTATTGTGTTATTTTTAAGCTCTTCCTGCATGACAGTGAAATTGTTCAGTTTCTTCTTCTTTCAACTAGAATAAATCAAGTTACTATATCATCTCTAAGAGTAAACTCTGTCCAATTGGTTTTATATTCATACGATAAAGGGGCTATGCTTGCTCATAAATAAAAATATATATAATAACAGATAAGAAATCATCATTTTTAACAATATGTGGCACTAAATGATATTATTAAAAAATGATGTGGGACTAAATGATATTATCCTAAAACTTTTAGATTCTAAACTGCTCTTCTAGAAGTCTGGATCAAAGAACACTATTGTTGTCCTACATTCTGAAATAAGGGAGAGCAATTACAGAGCCTTCTACTTATAATATGAACTATATTAGAATCTGATGCAGGATAGAATGACACAATTAGTGGAGAAAGAAAATAGGTCGGGGAAGAAGAGATTATAGGAAGAACGGTGGAAGAATCATTAGAAGAAATAGAAGAAAGTAGAAAGAGAGAATTCGCCACAAGCCACCAAAAATTTTATTCATTCATCAACTGAAAATAAATTACAATGCAAAGTAGTTTAAATATTAAAAACCTAAATCCTAACTAGATTGGACTGGGACCAATATAAACCTAATAAGAATCCAAAACAATAAAGTCCGCAAAAATGAAATAAGATCCAACTAGAAATAAATAAAAACGACTGGATGTCCTCATCAACTCTCTCGGGGTAGGAGAAAACTCGACCCTGTCGAGTGGATATATCAATAGAGGTTGCAGTCAATCTCCCAATTATAAACTGAGTGGCTGGGCAAGTTTCTTTCGACGTCTGTGGAAATGTGTCAATGGAGGTCTGAATCCAGTATCCTCACCAACTCTCCTTAGGTGGACGGGAGGCGATCTGGGCCAAAAAAGATCCTGCTGACTTCGATAAAACTCCAATAAATCTGAATTCAATTGCTGTAGTATCTCTCTGAAGATCCATGTACAGTCAGAATCTAGTCGACCAACCCAACGAATAAGGAAGCTCTCAGACCTGTCGATCATTAGTTAACACGGTTTTTTCATTTAAAATAGTATCGACGTTATCTTTGTGTGCTGTGAGAGGTGGTAGTGGATTAGAAGGGGCCAAAAAATCAGGGTCAAGGTCCACAAAAGGAGGTAACAGAGGATAATCTGAGGGAATGAAATTGCCTTCATAAACAACTAAGCCCTCAACATTGAAAGTAGACTGGTAACCAAAGTGGGGTGGAATGTCAACAACATATGCATTTGGACCAACTTGCTTTAAAATTTTAAAAGGACCAGCACTACTGATTTGCAATTTGGAGACGGGTCCATGTAGACGCTCCTATGGCCTAACGCGGACCATTACGTAATTCCCAATGTTAAACTCAACATGTTGTTCATGTAAATCAGCTTAGAGTTTATATTTTGCATTACTGGCTTCAAATTGTTTATTGACCTCAGTATGCAAAACACGAAGATGATGTGCAAATGCCTCGGCTGACACTGACACTCTAGCCTGTGGGGACATAGGAATGAAATCCAACGGCTTCCTAGGCTTATACCCGTGAACAGCTTCAAATGGACTCATACCCAATGAACGATTCATGGAACTGTTATAAGCAATTTGAGCTATAGGAAGGATCAAATCCCAATTTCGAAAATTTTCCTGGACTAGTCAACTTAATAGGTTACCAAAACTTCGATTAACTATTTTAGTTTGACCGTCAGCTTAAGGATGGTAGGCCATAGAAAATTTCAATTTGGTACCCATCTTTTGCCACAAAGTCCTCCAAAAATAACTAGTGAAACGAACATCCCTATCGAATACAATAGTCTTAGGAAGCCCATACAATTTGACAATCTCATTAAAAAATAACATAGCAACCTTGGACGCATCTGAAGTCTTGCTATAGGGGACAAAATGAGTCATTTTTCAAAAACGATCGACAACCACAAAAATAGAATCATGTTTCTTTGGGGTGCGTGGAAGTCCTAATACAAAATCCATACTAACATCTTGCCAAGGACAATTGGGGACGGGAAGAGGAGTGTATAGGCCTGTGTTTTGCCTCTTCTGTTTGGCTAATTGACAAGTATTATATGTACTAACAATCTTAGCCACATCTTTTTTCAAACTAGACCAATAGAATTGGCATTCAACTTCTTATATGGTCTTATCACGCCCAAAGTGACCGACTAAACCTCCTGCATGAATTTTCCACACTATGAAATCTCGCACTGAAGTTCGAGAGATGCACAATTTATTGGCTCTAAAGAGATAACTCTCCTTAAGTCGGAAGCCATCTGTGGTGTCTGATTGTCCCTTTAACAAATTAAGAAAGATATCTTTAAAATCGGGACATGCCTCGTAATCTTTCTTAAGCCTTTCAAAATCGATGACCTTTGACACTCATGATCGACAAAAGGGAGACACGATGACTTAATGCATCAGCTGCTTGGTTCTCCACGCCCTTCTTGTGTTTTAAAACAAATGAATAGGCCTACAAATATTCAATCAAACGAACATGCCTAGAGCTTAATCTTTTCTGAGAGTTGAGGTAACGGAGGACCTCGTGGTCCGAATAAAAGACAAACTCCTGGGGCAACAAATAGTGGCGCCAATAGCGCAAAGCCTGGACCACTGCATACGGTTCCTTATCATAAGTTGAGTATCGTTGTTTGGCCTCATTTAACTTCTCACTGAAGTAGGCAACAGGGTGACGATCCTGACTCAAGACTCCGCTTATATCTACCCCGGAGGCATCTATTCGACCTCAAAGACTTTAGAAAAGTCGGGAAGACGCATGACAAGAGCCTCCATCACTCGCTTCTTGACCAACTTAAAGGCCTTAACAGCTTCTTGTGTCTAATAAAACTCCCATTTCTTCATGCACTCCGTAATAGGCCCCATAATAGTGCTAAACCCCTTGATAAAGCGACGGTAAAATGTAGCTAAGCCGTGAAAGCTCCTGACGTCATGAATAGTCTTAGATTCAGGCCAGTCAAGAATCACCTGAACCTTGGCAGGGTCTGCAAATACCTCGAAGAGACAATGAACCCCAAGAAAACAACGTATCGATGAAGAAAGAGCACTTCTTGACGTTAGCATACAGATTAGTTGCACGTAGGGTAGAGCAAACTTGTGTAAGGTGGTCACGGTGTTGCTCCTTAGTCTTACTATAGATAAGAATATCATCAAAGTAGACAACAAAAAACTTACCCATGAAAGGTTGAAGAGTTTGTGTCATTACCCGCATAAAGGTATTCGGCGTGTTGCTTGGCCTAAAAGGTATGACTAGCCATTCATAAAGACCATCTTTCGCTTTAAAAGCGGTCTTCCACTCATCACCTGGGCGAATTCTAATTTAATGGTATCCACTCTTCAGATCAATCTTCGAAAAGATTGTAGCACCAACCATCATATCTAGCATATCGTCAAGTCTAGAAATGGGAAAACGATACTTCACCGTGATCCTATTGATAATGCGACTATCCACACACATTCTCCAAGAACCATCATTTTTAGGGGTCAATAGGGCGGGGACCGCACACGGGCTTAAACTCTCACGAATGAATCCTTTATGAAGGAAGTCATCCACTTGCCTTTGGAGTTTAGCGTGCTCGTTAGGATTCATCCTATAATGAGGCAAATTTGAAAGGAATGCCCCTAGGACGAAATCTATAACATGTTAAATGTCTCGTAGAGGAGATCGATGATCGGTTAGGTCCTCCGGAAAGATATTTCAAAACTCTTGAAGGAACGACTGGACTTCAGCAGGGCTTTTTATTGTGTGGAGTTAGATGAAACCTCAATGACTACCAAAACGAACACAATTGATTCACCACCAAGTATACGCTCAAACTCTATAGGACTAATGATATGAAATCCCTTTCGTTCCACACTCTTCTTCGTTTCCTGTGAGCCAAAAGGCTTTGGGGGCAGTGGGTTAAGGTGAATCTTCTTTCCATTAAACACGAAGGAGCAGGAATGGATCGACCATAGATGGTTACATCTAGGTCAAATAACCAAGGTCGTCCCAAAATGATGTGCCTGACATCCATTGAAATGACGTCACACCATATATGGTTCTTATACTCGAGGAACTGGAGAGGGACTAAACAAAGCTCCTTGACAGCTATAGAAGAGGTATCAATCCAAGAGACGCTGTATGGTTGAGGGTGAAGAACTGGCTTCGACCCTAGATGGGACACAGTAGCCATCGAAATCGCGTTAATCCAGTTGCCACTATCCACGATAACTTTGCAGCCCTTGTTATTGATCATGATGTAAGTGTGGAAGATGGCATGACGACGCCAATCATCGGCATCCCTAGGCTGGGTAAGAGTGCAACGGACGACACCGACTCTAAGCGTATGTGGGATAAGGGGACTAGCCTGAATACAACCTAAGAAGGTATCTTCACTATCCTCCAAGTCATCAAACTCTTCTAACTTAGGTTCATAAACTTGGTCCTCTAATGACTCGTCAACTATACCTCCATGCTCTTCCATAACTAGGGCTCGGCTAGGACAATTAGAAGAAATGTGACTAAAATCCTTACAGTTGAAGCATTGCAAACGGGAGGACACCCTTGAAACCTCAGAGCTTTTACCTTTACTATCCAATGCAGGGTAGCATTAGAAGGAGGAGGCCCTAGAATAGACTTAGGGGATGGAGTGGATGCAGAAGAGGTTGCAGCGCGAGTGTCACTACGAGTTCTATACGGTGTCCTAGTCACTAACTCGTAATCCCGAACGAAAGAGTAGGCGTGGTCAAGAGTGGTGACGCCTCTAAGGACAAGCTCACGCCTAAAATCATCTCTTAGGCCTTGCCTAAACCTACTCAAAGTCATGACCTCATCCTCAACGACCAGACATCTCATTCGAAACTCATCAAATTGCACGACGTATTCGGCAACAGCCTTACGTAAATGCGTTCCATTGATCTAAAAAGTTACCCCTGTAAGATTGAGGTAAATATTTTTCTTGAAGGCGACGCTTCATTTCATCCCAACTCCCAAC